CGTGTAACAGATATGAGGTGACCCAGGAGGCTCTAGGAAAAAGATGCACAGATGGAGCCCAGAGCAATAGGCCCTGGGAACACAGCCACAGCCACCACCCCACAGAGATGACACAAACTGATGTCACCTTGGGCAGTCGCTACTCATGAGAAAATGACCAGCTCTGGTTCCTCAGCCTGTGTTACGTGGTTGCAGGCATTTTTATGGGAGTGAGAAGTAGAAGCTTTAGGAACTTAGAGTCTGGGTAGGTGGAGAAGTCTTTGGGAAGATGAGGAGTACAGATGTTATATAAGTCAGTCCTCCCTCATTGTTGAGTTCACTCTGACCCATCAGCAGGAGTTACAGGAGTGGAGAGACCAATACCAGCTATTCTTCCCCATGCTTTCCAGAGATGGAGAACACCATTGGCAATGGCTTCTTTAAATACATCTAACAGTGATGCATCTCATGGATTAACAGGAAAGACAAGCCTCTTAATCCTTTTTATCTCCACAGACTTGTCACATGGAATAAATCTGTAAGGAATCAGGGAATGGATTTAAGAAAAAGAACAAGAATAAGGTACTGAAAACAGGGAACAACAGGATGCCACTGCACGAACATGATGCTTGAGGCCCACTAGCCTGCTGAAGGGACAGGCATTAGCGGAGCATCTCAGTGGTATAGGTGAGGAGCAAAGACAGGTGTGTTCAGAGGAGAGGCTTCTGGTGGCAGGTGGAACCAAGGAAACACATCACCTGTGTGATGCGATGCCTGAGCTAAATACTGAGTGAGAACTCCTCAGATGACAGAAAAGGTGTCTCAGACAAGGAACGGCATACAGAGGCACTTTAGGGCCCAACTGGGTGTCGATGCATGAAGCAATGGCTTCGGCGAATGTGAGACAATTTCAAACAGCTTGCAGAAAAACAGAATTAAAACCTTTTTTATTTAAATTTTTTGTGATATACACATAGTGTTTTCATAACATAGTTTTCATGAACTTTATTTACTTAAAAGGCAAGGAGAGACTGAGATAGAAAGATCTCCTATTTGCCAGTTTAAACCTCAAATGCCCCCAACAGCCAAGACTGGGCCAGATGGGAGCCAGGAGCCAGGAACTCAGTCTGGGTCTCCCACATGGGTGGCAGGAACCCAAAGACTTGAGCCATCACCTGCTGCTTCCCAGGTGGCCAAAGCTGGAGCGGGGAAAAGAGCTGAGACCCTTCTCAGGAACTCCAGTATGGGCTGCAGGTAACCTAAGTGGCAAGCCAATCACCATCTCAAATGCCAGCTCCTCTGGGAACTCCTTGAAGACCCCTTACAGGATCTGTCTCTGAATAACAAGGAGCCTGGTGACAGCCACTGGCTGCCTCCTCTTAGGGTTCTTTTGCCTTGCCATATCTTTGTCCTCATAATTGGCATAGCATGGTCAGAAGACAGCTGGCCAAGCTCCAAACATCACATCCACTTAGAAAATTGCAAGAATAGGGAAAAACAATGATTCCCTTAATTACCAATACAAGCAACAACCCAGGAACCCCCAGACTTTGAACAGACGTCTGGCAGTTCGGACAGGACTGCGCCAGATGGCTTTTGACAGCAAGAGATGCTGAGAAAGCAAGCATTCTACTTGAAGAGAAAAGAAGGGCAAGGAAGTAGGAGATTGGAACAAGCACTGGCCATGCCAACCATTCGTTTCTGTCACATAAGCCAGCGGGCGGGGGGGATGAGGAACTGGTAATACAGAAGCAGTGGGTATTGTTGGCTTTAACTGAAAGCGAGGACCCAGGAAGTGAGTGGAGTTTCTTTTCTTCTAGATGTGAGCCTGAGGAGGCAGGTTGGTGTAAAGCCTAAACTGCAGCGAAGGCTGAGGACTGGGGGCGGGGGCAGCTGTTAGCATGCAGGTGGGAGATGGGGCGGTTGGAGACCTCAAGCACTCAGGGACAGTGTGGACCAAGAAGAGTGCAAGACCAGGGAACTGTGGCTTTAGACAGTGGAGACAGAGGACGAGGGACTCATGGGAGACACCACCAAGAAACAGCAGTGTTTCTAGAAATGAGTGGTTAGGGGCACCAGAGAGATCCAGCAAAATAGAGCTGACAAAGTGCCTCCAGGCACTGGGAAGGGGCTGGTACCACTGGTGCTCACCTGAGCTGCTCTGGGTCGGGGATGGAAGGGCCGAGAAGCAGAACAGGTGCAAGGATAAACCCCTCTCCTGTGGAGAAAGAAAATGAAGGTGACGAGGTAGGAGGGAGATTTTTTTCTTTAATATACTGGTAAGACAGGGATGAATGCTTTTAAAGGCTGAAGGGAAAGAAGCCACAGAAACGGAAGGAACTGATGTGACAGGAGACTAGATCAATGCTGAGCAGATGGTGGGCCGCAGAACTCCTGGGATGGTGGTTTTTTCTTTGTAATTTTGTTGATGCACAGCCATAATCCTAATGTATTACATGGAAAATTCCAGAAATAAAAATGTATACTCTCTTAGGTAGCTTTTATTATATTGCTGCAGTTACTTTATTCTATTATTGTTAGACTCTTGGTAAGCCTAATTTAGGAATTAAACTTTATTTTTATTTATTCATTCATTTTTATTGGAAAAGCAGATTTACAGAAAGAAGGAGACACAGAAAGATCTTCCATCTGCTGGTTGACTGCCCAAATGGCTGCAAGGGCCAAAGCTAAGCCAATCCGAAGCCAGGAGCTTCTTCCAGGTCTCCCACATGGGCGCATGGACCTAAGGCTCTGAGCTATCCTCAGGCCATCAGCAGAGAGTTGGATGAGAAGTGAAGCAGTCAGGACACGAACTGGCTGCTCCCCATATGGGATGCCAGTGCTTACAGGCAGAGGATTAGCCATTTGAGCCAATCTGCTGGCCCCATGAACTAAACTTTACTATAGATATATGTGTAAAGGAAAAGTGTATTGTGTGTGTGTGTGTGTGTGTGTATAATGTATAGACATGTATGCAGTCTGGGACTTCCCATGGTTTCAGGTACCCCATGAACATAACCCCCAAAGACAGAGACTGCTGCAGTCATGGTTAGCCTCAGCCGATCATAGTTCATTGCCAGGCCTGAGAGAGACCATCATTCCTGGGTTCATTGCACCCATGACCTGATCAATATGGAATTTCTAAAACCAAGACATAAAAGCAGACAACAGCTGGGAAAGCATCCAAGGCTGTCTGCCACCCCAGCTCGCTCTGCTTAAAAAAATGTCAAGGAAAAAAAATCACATGTGTAGTGATTTATACCAAAAGACGGAAAGGTTTACAGTCTCTCTCTCTCTCTTTTTTTTTTTCATATTGCACATTTTAATTCAAATTCTTCCTCTAAGATTTTTCTGCGACTTAGTGTCCATCAAATCTGAGTCTGCAAAGATGTGCTAATTGGCTTGTCTATTTTTTCCACATGTTCACACACCCACCCTGGAATCTAATGGATAGTCAAGTTATGCAAAGAATCACCATGTGCAACAAGAACAGCCACGAGCCCTGCCAAGGCCACCTCTAATACAAACACATCCACAGGGCTGTCAGTGCTATACATAGCACTTGCTCTTGAATGCCAGCATCTATTTGCCACCCCGGGGAACAAATGTGTTTTCATTCTCTTGGTTGAAATTAAAGGGGGTGTCATCATTGTTGAAGCCATGATATTTATAACAGAAACACACACACATGCACACACACACACACACACACACACTGTGCAAAATCTCGGATGCTATATTGGCTTGCGTGAAGTCCTGCCTGTAAGCACTCTTACTTCTCCAGCAATACTTGGTCCAATCCAAGGGAACTAGAAACTTCTGGAAGTCTCAGCCTGAAAGAACCCCACCCCCACCCTTGCCTCCTCAGCCAGTCTGGCGGGTCATGGAAATTCTACCCTTATGCAGGGAGCTGTGGATACAGAGAAGTATTTCTTCAATATTTACCTGGGTCAGTGACATAGCTGTGACAGATTTTTTTTTTCTGTCTTTCCAAGACACAAAGTGGCATTTTAAAGGCAAAACTACTCTTTTGGTGCCACAGAGCATTTTAAAAAATGCACCACTTCAGTAACACAGCTGTCCAGAGGCTCACACTGCAAGGAGAATTCAGCCACTGTAAGCACACAGGGAAACAAGACTTCATTTCAGGCTCTTGTACATTGCGTTTGCTTCCTTGTACTGAGTCACATTCAAACGGGGGACAGCCTGTTGGTCGCTTTTGCCTGTTTTGCTGTTCAGTGCATGAGTCACAACAGCCTTGCTTCTTTTTGTCAGTCACACTTTGTGGTCCCAAGCAGATAGTAAGCTCTGTAAGCTCACTGGGCACATCCTGTACTTCTTTTTATTTCTTGCAGAGCTGGGCTTGCCACGGTCAACTTACAGGAAATAGTTGTTGAATGAATGAGAAAAAACTGGAGAGCAGGGCATGGGTTAGCTCTTGGCAGCCCAGGGAAAGCAGATTGGAAGATAAAGTGAGATTAAGAGGAAAGGTGATGTAGGGAAAAGAATGCTGCTTTCCCAGCCAGCACACAGAGGTCATGGTCCCGGGCAGGCTGGCTGGCACTCACTCATCTAACACTATTTCTTAAAATTTTCCGAATGAGTCAGGCAGGAAGGCATTGACTAAGGCAAAAATCCCTGCTTTCAAGGTATGCTGGAGGTAGCGAAGGGGCATGCGCAAGCCAAGGATGACGAGATGTGTGTGATGGGCCATAGGATAGCGGCAAGCACAGGGCACACACAGCGGGTTTCTGCTTCTGACTGTGGTTTCCAGGAAAGCTTCCTGGAGAAATTTCCTTCAAGCCTTGAAAGGAGAGTGAGTGTTAGTTTGAGCTTGGCTAGGAAATCACATGGTGGTTAATGCCCTAGCAGGTGGGGATCCACTAAACCATTGCAAAGGGCATTGCGTTTGCTGTCTGCCCAGCACAGGCTGGATGCCCAGCACAGTGCCCCGTGCAGAGTAGAAGATGCCAGAGACGGGGAAGGTGTGGCCACACCCCTGTCCTGTTTCTTCCCTCCAGGAACCTATGACCCCTGTGCTGTCCCCTGTGCCCATGCACAAGCTCCCAATAAACCTTGCCTGCGTGTCATCTTGGCCTCTTGTTGGTTTCTATCGCAAGGGATCAAAGAAGCTCACATCAAAATCTACAGTGAGTATTTTTAAGTCTTAATTTCTTTTACACACTGGCTGTATCAGTGATCTGTTGCTACCATGATAAATTATCCCCAAATATAATGGCTTAAAACAAAATGCATTTAAATCTCCACTGGGGGGAGGGGGAGGGGCAGTGTCTGGCATTTGGACTCTGGCTTAATGGGATCCTCTGCCGTGGGGCCTCTGCTGTGCAGTGTCACCTGGGGCTGAGTTGGCACCTCAAAACCCAGTGGGGAAGTTCACTTATACATCTGTAGACAGAATTCAGTGGCTTTTGGCCACATTTTGTTAGTTAGAGGGCCAAGGGTGACCTAACATTGGTATCCCCGTGGCCTATGGGAGTGCCAGACTTCAATTCCCCGGGGGCCACTGCTGCTCTCAACTTCCTGTTGACGCACACCCTGGGAGGTAGCAGGTCCTGATTCACGTGGTTGGATCCCTGCCATCCACCAGGCAGAACTGGGTTGAGTTCCATCCTGGCCCCCAACCCTGACTGTGCAGGTATTTGAGGGAGTGAACCAGCAGATGGAAATTCTGTCTGCATCTTGATCTCCCAAGTAAATAAGACAGAAAATGGAGGTGGGAGGAGGAAGTCCAAGGGGGCAGTCCGCATTCCTGGGGCAGGAATTATGCAAGGGGGAGGGTGACAGCAGGAAGCGGGCATCATCAGGGGTCAGCCTCCCCGGTTTACATAGCTTAGAGCCACTAGTAAATAATAGTGGCTGCTATGATTATGCTGAATTGAGCGATGGGGGCAGGGAGAGAAACCAGGTGAAGCCTTTTCAATCAAGGGAGTAAACTTAGGTGACCTTGGATTAGGCACGTTTCCTAATCTCTGTGCTTTCAACTCTCAGTGAACTGGAAAATTTCTGACCCCAGAAGAGTAAGAAAATAAACACGTGGAAGCGAAAATACGGCTTTGTAAAAGAGAACACACAACTCTCCACAGCCCCAGGTAAGAAGCGGCTTTGGACCACGTTTCCACTTGATGTTGATTCGCTGAGGCTCGGGGTCTGCCATTTTCCAAGTTTGTGATGTTTGGCTCCGCGCGAGCTCAGCAGGACGTGTGTGGCTGGAATAAAGAAACAGAGAGATCTCCAGAGCTCCTTAAACATAGCTCCAAGGGTTATCTTCCCCCTCCCCCTTTCCTCTTTAAATATCTTTGCTTCCAAGGACCCCCAACAGGGAGCCTGAGAGGGAACACAGACTACCTGGGAAAGTGCTAGCCGGCCCTCATAAAACACGGTAATAAAACCTCGTCGGGGAGCCCGAGGCTTGGCGGCCCAGGGGACGTGCGTGCTTGTAGCCTCCGGGGACCGCGCAGACAGCCGTGAGATCAGGTGCCCGGCGTTCCGGAGGGAGCGGATCCCACGGGTCGCACTGCCCGGAGTCCCCTGGTGCGGAGTGTCCCCCGGGGAGGCTAAACTGCACCGCCCGAGCCGACCCGCGGCCATGTCAGAGGGTGGGGTGCTCGTGCCTCCGGCGCCGGCGTTTCCGGAGGGGACAGAACTCAGGAGTGGCCCCTTGGGGAGGGGGCAGGAGAGAGGTGGCTGCGAAAACGCCCCCATTAGCACCTGATCCTCATAAAGGCATGGGTACCGACGGGGACCGCAACGTCGCGGGAGCCCCCCGCATCCCGCGGGTCAGTGGCTGCGCGCGGACGCTGGGCCCTGCACGCAGCGGCCCCCTCCAGCGTCGCTGCCCTGAAACTTGTCCGGTCCCTGGGATCACCCGACGCGGACACACTTGGGATGGCGAGGAGCCCCGAGCAGCCGAGGGGCGAGGCCGGGGTGCAGCGCAGCCCAGCAGCACGCATCCTCGCTGCCCACCCCGCCGCTCCCGAGACCGCTGCCTCGAGTAATCCTAACCAGAACCAGATGTGGGGCCCGCGGCCAGACTTTCTCAGAGCCGGTGATTGGCTCCCGGCCCAGGGCCTCGGCCAATCGGCGCGCCGGGGCGGGCCTTGAGTCCCCACCGCGCGGACGCCGGCTGACCGCCCGCCGGGGTCTCGGGCAAGCAGCGGGGCCGGCACGCCGCGGACCACGGGCGGGACGCACGGAGCGGCCGGGCTGCCCACGGGCCGAGCGAGCATGCCGGGCCACCGTGCGTCCGGACGGGCGCCGCCGCCACAGCTGCTGCTGTGGGTGCTGCTGCTGTCACGGGCCGCGGCGCTGCACCCGGACGAGCTGTTCCCCTACGGGGAGTCGCGCGGCGACCAGCTCCTGCCGGAGGGCGACGACGAAAGCTCGGCCGTGCGGCTGGCCGTCCCCCTACGCTTCTACGACGGCCAGTTCAGCCATCTCTACGTGAGTCTCCGGGCGCGCTGGTCACCGGGACGGGGTGTCTCCTGGAAGCCCCTAGCTTGGGAAGGGACCAAGGAGTCCCCCCCTCGACTCTCTCCCAGCTGTCACGGCCTGCCCCCGCCGTCAGTCCCGGGGTGCGACCCTGCTTGGCTCACCCGACGCGGTGACCTGATCCGCTGCAGCTGGGGAGCCAGGACCTTTGGCAACTCAGGCCCACCGCATCCCTGGGGGTTAATTAGCTGCGGCTGCTTTAGGGCCCAGTGGAGGTGGGGGTCTGCCGCGCGCCCCGCAAGGAGCCCGAAGGGCGTCTGCAGGACCCCAGGGCCTCCTCCTTGGACCTGCCAGCCTTCTCCCCAAGGGACGTGAGGGGATTCCTGCTGTGCAAGCCGGTGGAGGGGGTGGGGAGGAGGAGGTCAGCAAATTGCAATGCGCCCTGGGGCTATTGCACAGTGTGGGGCTTTTGCCAAAGTCGCGCCGGGGCAGCAGTTGCCTCCGTGGGGGCACGTCCGGACTCGCGGTGTCCGTCCTCGGGCTGCAGCCCCCCTCACCGCCCGTCCCTTTCCTCTCCCAGGTGGGCACCAACGGCATCATCTCCACCCAGGACTTCCCCAGGGAGACACAGTATGTAGACGACGATTTCCCCACGGACTTCCCGGCTATCGCCCCCTTCCTGGCCGACATCGACACGAGCCACGGCCGGGGACGGGTGCTGTACCGCCAGGACACCTCCCCGGCCGTGCTGGGGCTGGCCGCCCGCTACGTGCGCACAGGCTTCCCGCGTGCCTCCTTCAGCCCCACGCACGCCTTGGTGGCCACCTGGGAGCAGGTGGGCGCCTACGAGGAGGTCAGGCACGGGGCAGCGCCTTCCGAGGAGGTAAGTGACTGTGACCGGGAGAAGGGGGGTTGCTGGCTGTGCTGAGCCCCTGGAGATTGGGCTGGAACTCTGGGCCGGAAGCCAAGGATTGGCCTGAGTTTCTGGGAGTGCGCTCGCTAGCTCTTGCTCTGATCCTGCTGTATCGTTGGGTGACCCCGGGGGTGGGCGGGGGGCGAGGAGGGGGAAGTGGCTTGGAAGTGGAAAAAGTGAGCGGAAGCCCGGCCAGGGGCTTGCTCTCTGAAGAAGCCTGCTTGGGAGCTGGGGGAGGGGCTGAGGACGGCGATCCACTTCTGGAAGCTTGCCAATAAAGCTTGGTTGCTTCTTGAGATTACCGCTTAGTGTACGGGCTTCTCTAATTAAATGTTGGTTGAAAGAAAAAAAAATCAGAAAATATAAGGAACTTGGAAAAGAACAGCCACTCATTTTTTTTTTCTACCAGTGTTAAACGGTTTTATGTTTAAGGTTTTCAGACTTTTCTCATGCCTATGACGGTTGCTGTCATTGACAATGATGAGTTCACACGGTTGTGCAACTTGGTGTTTTCTGTTGAGTAACACATAGTGAATGGGGTTCCATGTTAATAACTGTATTTCTGCAGCATTGTTGTCGTTGGCTCCGTGGTATTCCAACCAGTGGTTTGACTCAGCCATTGTGCTCAGTTAAGGTTAATCATTTTTTTTTTTTTTTTTGTCATTACAAGTGATGCCTTGAAGCACCTTTTGAAAAATCTAACCCTCTATGCATGTCTGTAGTGGATGCTCCAGGAAGTGCGCTGGGCAGGCCTGCAAGGAGGTGGTTTTTTTTTTTTTTTATTAAGGCTCTTGATTCCTTTGGCCGAATCACTGTCCATGTCCATGTACCAATTGATGTGCTCCCTGGTTTACAGAAAACGGTCCTGGATCTGTTGGATGGTTTCTACTTGGAGAGAGGGAGAGAAGCCAGGCTCGCATCTGGGAGGCTTGGCAGCAGCACTGGGACATTGCAGATGGATGAGGCGGGGCTGGGCTAGCTTAGTATGTGGCAGCCTGCCCTGTTCCTGGAGCGGGCGCGGGCTTGCTTGTGTGAAGTTGAACTTCAGTCTAAGTTCTCGTATTTTAAAGAGTGGAACACCAACCTTTTATCTCTGGTTTAGAAAGTCCTTTCTTTATGTTTAACTCAGAAATAAACATTGTGGACCTTTATGATAAACAACAGGATGTTTTGACGTACGAATGCAGTGTGGAATGGCCGCAACAAGCTAATGAACAAGTATGGTCCCATTTAAACCTAGCAGGTTCTTTGTGGTGAGAGCACTGAAAAAAAAAAAATGCTTTTTAAACAAATTTGTTGGTTTTGCTTGCAAGAAGGAGAGAGGATGGGAAAGAAATGGGAGAGTGCGATCTAGCTCCTAGCAGCTGCTTCCATTCCCAGTTACGCCCGACAGGTGAGGCTTGGCTGAGCTCGAGTTGGGAGCCGGGAGCGTGATGCAGCTCTCATGGGGTAACAGGGACACAGTTATGCAAGCCTTACTGCTGCTTCTGACACCTGCCTGCGCAGGAACCCGGAGTTAGGAGTTGGAGGCAGGGGCTCTCCTGTTAGATGTACGCATATTAACTGTTAAGCCAAACACCTCTCCCCACAGATGACTAGTGCATTATCGGTTTTAACTAGATCTCTTGGACTTTCTCATGTCTAAATGAAATTTTGTTGCCTGTAACAGCTTCTGATACCCCCTACTGCTGATGTATTCTTTTTTTAATTCAAACTTTTTCTTAGCTTTGGAATGATAGCCTGTATCCCCCTAATAAGTTAGGAAGCTTGTCTGCTGATGCTGACTAGCTCAAGATGGTAACCATTCTTCTTTTTAGTATCTTTTTATGTATATGTTTTACTTAAGTTGAAAGGCGGAGAGAGAGAAGGAAATGTCCCATCTGCTGGTTTACTCCCCAGATGCCCTCAATAGCTGGAAACTGTTAGTCACCTTGATGAGTGGCAGGGACCCAGGTGCATGAGTCACCGCGTGCTGTCTCCAAGGGCACACACTTGCACGAAGCCAGAGTCAGGAACGGAGCCAGGACTCAAATCCAAGCACACCAGGAAAGGAGCCCCGCACCCCAAGTTGTCTCTTAACTGGGATCCAAACACCTGCCGCCAGTGCTGACTCTTCTTGTTCAGTTTTCCTCTAGAGTGAGAGAATTGTTTCCTACAAGTCATACTAAGCAAAGAAGATCTAGAAATAAAAATCATTTGAACTTGGGAATTTTTACCATTCAACAGTTTGGTCAAGCAACATCTAGTTTTGTTGATTGAACAGCTTCGTTGTTTTAGTTACTTATTTAAAGCAGAGAGAAAGTGAACCTCTATTCATTGGCTTGTTCCCTAAATGTCTACAATGGCCGATAAATGGAAAGCAGAAGCCAGGAATTCAGTCCAGCTCTCTGTGCATTGCAGGGGTGAGTTGCCCGAGTGATCACCTGTTGCCTGTAGGGTGAACATTAACAGGAAACTGGAAGCAGGAAGGGAGTTGAGATGCCACACAGGCACTGTGATAGGCGATGCCAGCATCCCAGACTGTGCTTCATCACTAGTGCAGATGCTCACCACTTTTGGATAGCTTTAAAAGTGCATGAGTTTTGACAACTCAATTATGATTTCATGGAATACATTCCATTCAGACAAACAGGTTGAACACCTTTGTGCGGGACTCTGGGCCAGATGGAAGACTGCAGAGGCTGCAAAGATGAGCGAAACAAGACTGCATTTGTTGTGTTAGTATTCAATCATTTTTGTGTGTGTCTTCATAAATTGACTTAAAATGAACTATCAAAATGAACTAGAGAAGAACATTAGGAAATCATAAGTTGGGGCCAGCACCATGGCTTAGGAGGTAAAGCTACCGTCTGTGGTATTGGCATCCCGTACAGGTGTTGCTTTGAGTTCCAGCTGCTCCACTTCTGATCCAGTTCCCTGCTAATGTGTTAGGAAAGCAGCGGAAGATGGCCCAAGTGTTTGCTTGGGCCTCTGCACCCATGTGGGAGAACTGGAAGAAGCTCCCAGCTTCAAATTAGTTCAGCTCTGCTGTTACAGCCATTTGGGGAGTGAACCAGCAAATGGAAGATCTCTTTTTCTGTGTCTCTCCTTCTCTCTAACTCTACCTTTCAATAAAAATCCTTTTAAAAAAAGGCAAATGATTTATAATCCCACTAATTTAGAGCTTACCACTGCCCATACTTTACTCTTAATCTACGCTTTTTTGTTAAAAAGAAATCTCAAACATGGCATATTTATATATGGATAAATAATTTACATTGAAACACAGTCAAGAATTAGCCGAAAGACCATTTTGGATCACTTGTTTTATGTCAGTCCTGAGATAAATGGTGTGAAAGGACGGCTTCTTATCCTCCAAGCTCTCCTTGTTTAGAAGGGACTTTGAGGAGTTTTCACTTTAAGCATGGTAGCCTCTTGTCTTGGATGAATTAACCCTTACCCTGCTTTTTGCGGGGGCTCCAGTGGGAAAGCAACTCTAAATCTGTGTTGAGTGGTAGAACATTCTGAATAGAAGGATGCCCTGTGACATGTAAGCCGTGTGCAGACAGCATGTGTTTTGCGATTGTGTTGCTTCAGAAGGGAAAGGGTCGTGGACATGGGGCTGTAAAGGCCATGGGGCAGGGCAGATCCTGCTGTGGGGAGAGGCTGACCTTGCTTCCTTGTCAGTGGGCTACCTTCCAAACTATTTCAAAATATTGTTAGAACTCTTTTGTGTGTGCATGCGCCATTTGGAGGAGGTGTAGGCACCATATTTTGATGAGTATTATGTATACTATTTGTTTAAGATGTCTTGTTGATTTCTATTCAGTATCTCACTATGCTTTTCTTATTATGATCCTATTAGATATATTTAACAAAAAGTGTTTGTATTTCACGGATGGTAGTAAATAGGAGATCTAAAACCTTTGTCCAGCTTGGCGAGTTGAAAGCAGATTTTGAATACAGGTTTATTAATTCTTAGGTTCTTTTGATTTTGTTTGGGGCTTATTCTCAGACTTTTCTGGCATTATTTCCTTGATTTAAGGATTGTTGGTGGAGAATTATACCTTTCCCAAAGGTGTTTTGTCAATAAGTCCTGGCTCTTACTGTCTCAGGGCGGCCTTAGTGTCAGGAGATTCCTTGGACCCACATTTCATTCTAAGGAAGAATGAATTTGGAATAAATTTGCTGCAAAGGGCACTTTTGAAGCTAATCTCTCTTCCAAATTAGTATCTCAGTTCTCAGCAGAGGATCCAGTTGTAGCTGTCTTTTTCAAGAAAGTTGAGCAAGATGAATGGGAAAATGAGCAGTTTCTCACAGGCTTGGAGGTCCTGAGGTTGTATCATTGCCTGGAGGCCCCAGTTTCATCAGAGCCGCTTTGAAATTCAAAAAAAAGTTATCTTTCCCAGTTATATTGGCAGCATGTAAGTAAGCTTCTCATATCAAGAAGCAAGCAGTGGCTTTAAGGGGTTGTCCAGTGGTCTTGGAAGCTGACCAAGCCACAGCCTTGGCTTTCCAGTCTGGAAAGTAGGGAGGCAATGCCTTACAGGATTGTAGTGGACATGAACTGACAAGACACATTCTGGTCCCCAAACAGATGCTCAGCCATCCTGTGTTCCCTCCGTTGGCTTGGTGAAAATGGATTCTGGAAACTTGCTTTGTCTCACCTGTAAGCATGCTCTGATATTAACTCTTCTTGTCAACACTCTTCACAGACCAAGTTTTCCGATCTGCCATGTTTTTCTAGTCAGTCGTTTTTTTCTTCAAAGAGCGTTAGAGTAGGGAAACATTGGCAATTCCATCCCTCATCCACTGTGTCAATTAAAGTCATTCTTCAGACATTACTGTATGCTGATTGGCTTCAGAATTTGTTTCATTTAGAAAGGCAATGAGGACTCTGGATCCAGGGTGGTTTTTTTTTTTTTTCAGTCACCTATGTTGAAAGTTCTTTTGAAAGAGCCCTGGGTCTTGAGTTGTTGTTTTAATCAGTC